AACTAGTTCCACGCAAACGCTCACTGTTTTCGGCTTCTGGGACAGCCAATCACAGGTGATGCAAACTCCGAAATAACACAGCGGCCAATACCATGCCCGCAGCATTAGTTGACCTCAATCCATCTGGTCCTTCGCCTTCAAGGCCGACTCAGACAGAGGCGGACTACGATGACTGCCTACGCTCTGACGCTCCGGACCTGGCGCACTAGCAGCCGGACTGCACTCATCCGAGAGACAAATTCCTCCTACCTGCTCTTCCACTCCTTCTGTACAGAATAAACTGTTCCTACCACTCTCACCACCACTCCAATCACCGCTGAAACCCGCTCTGACGACTCGCCAACTCCATCAGCCCCGCCCTCACTCCCACCAATGGGAACTCGGTTCTAACTTGTTCTCACGGCGATCACACATTCACCTCACACACCGGCCTGGTTGGTCACATGCGAATCCAGCACACACAGATACTGGAAAACCAGTGCTCGAGGCGCCAAGGCAGAGCAGAGACGACCGCTCCCACTGTCCTCGTGCATTCACTCATCGCATGAACCTACACGGTCAGGTGCGCATCCGCGAAAACGGATTCCACAGCAATGCACACATTCTGAACACAGCCTGCATATCCGACAACCTTCCCATCTATAGCAATAGCAAATCCCCCATCCCCCAATGCCATCACCAGTTGTACCCTCAAAAACGAAACCGCCTTTACAATCGTCAACCTATCCTACCCCCACTGCTACCACACAGGAACATCACACATCGGCCTGTTCGGTCACACAGAGACAGGCGAGCCAGTGCTGTGAGCACTAAAATACACCCGCCTCAACTCTCCACACTTTCGCTCGCCGCAAAGGTCTACTTTGCCATATGCGCCTCCATAAAAACCCTTGATAGAACACCATGGCCACATCCCTCCACATCACACATGACCACACCCAAAATCACACAACCCACGTTTGCAGTTAGCATCTCTTTCATTAGAGGGAAGTATGATAATCAGCTCTTTCTCCAAATGGTGCATCAGCTG